GGGCGCCCCCAGCGGTAGGGCTGCGGGGACGCGGGCAGAGAGAAGAGCAAGGAAACTGGCCCGGGGGTGGGGCGGAAAAGTCTGCGGTGGTGGGAGCTGTCACCAGGGCAGCCTGACTCCGCTGGGCAGTGCGACCCGGGGCCCACGCCCTCCCTTCCCTGTGCCTCTCAGCGCTCCCTCCTCCCCTGCACCCACGTCCTCTCCAAGCCCAAGTTCCTTCCCCCAGCGGTCACTTAGCAGCAAAGCTGAGAGGGGAAGGACCCAGGGACTCATTGGGACAGTCGTACACGAGGTCAGGTGAACCCGGGGCTGCCGGGCAGGAACCGCACTGACGCCGCAGCCGTCGGGGTGGTCTGTGGGGGCCGGAGCTCCGGAACCCAGACTGCAGTTCATAGCCCCCGCGGAAAGTCTGAAAATAAGGCACCCGAGCCCCGGCGCAGACCAAATCTACAGAACCTACAGGAGACGCCTGGGCGTGGCCGGGAGTGGCTCCGGGTTATTGCCATGGGCGCCCAGGCGGCTGGTCTGCAGCCAGTGCCCCTCTGCCCCGGGCGCAGCTGGGACCCGTCTGCCCCCACGTGCACCTCCCCCTCCTCTGAGAAGAGTGCATCACGTTATATACATACACACGCCTGAATTTGACCAAAATGAACCTTGAGATCCAGAAAAGGACCAAATCTCTCACGCATCTGCATTAATCTCATTTGACATAAATTCACACGTGAACTTGTTACTTGCTGTAGAAAGAGGATGTGGGTGAGCTTCTACCACATCTTTGCTGCCAGTGGGGCTGCTGTGAACTGAACCAACTGCCTAAACTGAGCAAGACAAGGATCCACATCTACTCACCCACCTGACACAAATTCAAACTGTGCCTGGAAAGAGATGCTGTTTCTAGGATCTCCGGGAGGTGTGAAATTTAACCTCCCAAGGCTCGTTCCCAGCAGAGCCCCTCACCCTGTCAGCACCACTTCTATGGGAGGAAATTGTTACTGAGGTGCCAAGGTCGACGTGTAAGCCGAGAGACGGTGCGCACACCGATGGCCAGACACGACAGGGCAGGGATGAGCGCTGCATGTGCCGGTGTCCTGGGGCCCCTGCATGAGCTCAGAAGAGGCAAATCCCACTTCCCCAGAATCCTGTCACCCAGGGAAGGAGGACTACGGTGCAGCAGCCCAACCTGGGCACCCCTGGACCCAGCATGGGCACCACCGCCTCACCTCTGCGTCTCTTGAGCTTGGGTGGAACCAGGGACTCTGACAACATCCATTCTCAGAAGATGGAGGTGAGGAAACCACCTGCTACCTTCAGGCAACATTCGTGCCGGGCATGCTCTTTGCCTGGGGCCCCATCTCCTCCTTCTCATTTAGTCCTCCTACAGGCTGTGACATGGGCTTCACTAGGCTCATTTGATGGCTGAAGAAAGTGGCTCAGAGAGGTGCGACCCTCTGCCCAGAGTGACACAGCTAGTATGTAGCAGAGCTGGCATCTCAACCTCAATCTGCTTCAGAATCAATGTTTTTCCCACAACACACATGTCTTTCTAATAGTGAGTCTTGCCTTAATATTCAGTTATCTGGTCCAGTTTCACTTTATAGCTAACCTGCTTGGTGACCACTGATAAGTCGCTGAATTCTTCAGACACCCAGAGATGATAACCTAACTGCTTAAGCTTGAGCGACTGGGAGCAAATCTGCATTTCTTGAGGTCTGGGCTAGTGCTGTTTGAGTTATCAGATAAAGGTTGAAGCTTATCCCATGAAGACATGTCCTTACCCGCTCCGGATTAGATCATAAGTCAAAGATGTAAAGTCACTGGGATGTGGTGACGCCACACAGGTGTCCACAAATAAGGCCAAGGAGGTATTGGAATGGAGGATTTCAGCCTGAATGTACAAATTCTGGTTCAAGTCCACATAGTATGGGCTGCTGGTCACAGGATAAGAGAATGAAGAGGACGTATAAAAGGACACATTCAAGTCAAAATTCCCATACTGCACGTTCTTGACCTC